ACCCCAAGCCCTATAAAGTCTTTGTTCTTTCAAAACTCAGGGCTCTCTCGCATCCTGCCGCTGCGCCGGTAATGGAGGCAGAGGGACCAAGCTCAGCTTGAATAAAGGCTCTATGCTTTTGCATCAGACTCGGCGCTCCCTGGTGGATCTTTGGGGGATCTTGAAATCTGGGCATAACACAAACAGAAGGTTTTTAAGGGCCAGGTCTACAAGTGGAGTTCATTATTTCTATCCACATTCTGTTTGCCATAATGTAGTCATATGGTCCCACTTATTTGCAAAGGAGACTAAGAAATATTGTTTACCTATATGCCCAAGAACAACAGAAAGGAGAATTTGGGGAACACATGGCAGTCTCTGAGCAGTCTACTTATGCAAAGCCAGACTCCTCAACCAAGGTCTAAGACCCTGGGCTCTGCATCCCTCTGTCCAATTGAACAAGCACCCCTCCCTCCCCGGGTGAGAAGCTGGCATCTGTCATTAGAGAAAGTGTTTCTGTCCTCAGAGTGGGTACCCTGAGCTTCCAGAATCTGCAGTACCCTACTGTTCCAATTATCTATGGAACATATGCACAGGTGACCCAGAGCGCCTCATTTGGATATACCAATACAGATGTCAAAGGGTACTTACTATTAATTAATATGGCCGAGCTTAACCAAAAACTAGAAGAAAGGAGGCCACCCGGAGACACTCGCTGACAGAGGAGACACACGGAGGTCGTCAAAATACACCGCGGCAAGGAGCTCGGTTTCTTGACTCGAAGAGAGGCCTCTAGCAGTTTGGGCTCAGGCAGAGCAGGAATGGCAGTTTGGCAGTTTCCAGGGGGGAGGAGAGCATCCTGTCTGTGGAGGGCAGACAAGCATCTGAACCACAGCAGATTTGCTCTCCTTAAATCCTTGAAGCTGGGCGTCTTCAGTGTCTCATATCAGTGTGCTCTGGTGGCCTTCTGGGCTTATCAGGATATACACGCAGGGGGTTACAAGGTACTTATCAGGAGTTAACATGCAGGGAGTTGTTGGTCAGGAGTTACAAGTTATTTGTCAGGAGTTAACATGCAGGGCGTTACAAGTTACTTATCAGGGTCTCACACACACACACACAAATTAAGTTCCTCTTCTAAGTAAAGTTTAAAATTCATTCTAATAAAGAAATGAAATTTGATTATACTATCTTATAGTAACTAAACTTATTACTATAACACCTACGATTCTTGCTAGGTCAGTTCTATCTTCTGGGCAGTTTTACCTGGGTAATATTACTCTTGAGATTTCAGGCAATGCAAGGCAGGCCTTCCTGCCCATATTGCTTCCCCAAACTGTGACTGTTCTGGAAACTCGGTTTCAGGACTTGTGTTTTCTGAGCTCAAATTCTTTGGGGGAGACTTTATAGTGACTGGTTTGTTAGGGGGGTGGGAGCTGGATCTTTTCTCAAAGAACCAAAAGGTCACCCAGATCACTGAGCAGGGAGAGGAAGAAGAGAAATCAATGGAGTGTGTCCTGGGGCCTTGAAGGTGCCAATAACAGTAAAAAAACAAAAACACCTCACATACCTCTCCTTCTGGGAGATGCTACTCGTGTATTTTTTCCTCAGTTTTATCAGCTGCTCGTGTACGTTTTTCTCGGTTTTATCAAAGCTGAAATTGAAACACTGCATGAGAGTTTCCATGGTGGAGGAGTGTGCAACAAAATGCCAATTATAGTTGGAATGTCCAATTGGTCATCATTGCAGTGCCGTCTGTGGAAATGTCTGCATGTGTCTCCAAGAAATGGGTAGGTTCTAGGAAGCATCTTTCCCTCGTCACGAGGTTCTGGAGGACTGTGGACTCCCAAACTTTGGGGACACGGGTGGCAGGAGACTATGCCTCCTCAGTCCCAGTATCCAATCCAACCTGGTGACCCTTGCCTCTTCATCCTAGCCCCAAGGTTCCCACTCTCCACTTGCAGGCCTACCTGATTAATCCAAACCCCAGGATGTGTAATGTGTTTCCCCCACATCCCGCGTGGTTCAGGGTTCAGGATCTGAAAGAGAGGCCGCACACAAATGAGAGGAGACAGGAAACAATTTGGAAATTGGGGGGCCAGGCGAGAGCCCATCCCAAGAGGAGAGACTCCACTGGTGCTCAGGCCTCTCCATCCTTTTATGGAGTTTGGGATACACCCACAGCCCTTACACAGGCAAGTTCCAGTAACAGGCAGGCTATCTTATCAATAAGGATTTACATGACTATCTGGTGGGGAAGTTGCTTCAGCTACCATTGTCTCAACTAAACAGTGGGTGCATAGCCCTGACCTTTGCCAGGGCTGCAAGGGTCACCAGCCTTCAGGGCTCCTTGTCCACACCTCTCAGCTAGAGAAGACAATAGGCGGCTTCCCACATTCTTGTACAGCTCTGGAACTGTCTGCTGCACCCTCTCCTCTTTTACCTGAGAGGATAACCCCTGCCTCCCACTACAGATCTCTTTGCCTTCTTGCCTTTAGAGGCTTGATCTCCTTAGCCAAGACTCCTGGCTCTATCTCTTTTTGTTTATTGACTAAAATCCTGTGGGAAACTGCTTATATGTAGATGTTCTTAAGGCTATAGAAAGCATTGTCCCTTGGTGCAGCCTTTCTCTTATCTCAGACTGTGATCCTAGCAGATTCCCACAAGATGATGCTACTTTTAACTAATCCTTGGAAGTGCAACCTTCCTTAAAGGTGACAGCACCACTGGTCTTGAATTGAAAGAAAATGCCATTGGCCTCCCCAGATTCTCTTCTTAGGCAATGCCTAATTTGTTACCATTATTTATCCAATCATTTGGGATACAACAGGGACATTTTCAAATGTAAATGCTCCTGGAAAGAGTAAGCAACCTTCAGAGGGTTATAGAGAGCCTACCATGTGCCCAGGCTTGCGACAAGGGCCACTCCATGTGAGTGGAGGTGTCACTAACTCTCTCTGTTGGCATATAACCCAAGGAAGGGTGACGTCTTATGATGCACATAAGTAGAAACCAGGATGGGGCATGCTAAGAAGGGATCCATGGGATATGTGGTCAGTGCTTTAAGGTGTAGAAGACAGAGGGGTTACTATGGGTCATGGGATCAGATTTCCTGGAAGAAGAGATGCTTGGTCCTACCTTGAGGGATGATGAGAAATTGAGATACCTAAAAGGAAAAGTTCTTTTTCCTCCTTGACAGAATGAAATATAGAAGTTGTGAACAAGGTTAGATCATGAATTTGTACTAAGCTCTAGGACCTTAGCATGTCCCAATTTGTCAAGTTTTCCTTTTTGGTCCCTGTTATCATACCCACAAACGCTGCAGAGCACAAGTATTGTTTGATAAATTCAGCAAAGGAGAACAAACAGGCACAGATGAGTGGCTGGACCTACCCAAGTTCACTCAGTGTGTTGATTGCAAATGGATATACAGATCGCATTCTCAAATGCCTCTGTGCTTGAGTTTCCTAAAATACATCTGTGCCAGTGGCCAGAGATGTGCTTAAAATAGGGGGTAGTGGGGAATAGGGTTGGGAGGGGCACTGGGCAGAAAGAGTGTTCATGGAGAGGGTGGAAGAGGACAGGTCCTAGTGTTCTCCTGGACAAGCAGGGGGTGATTGCCTCAGGACACAATCAGTGGACTGTTTCAGCTGAGCAGTTACCAACAAAAAGCAGTGAGAAAAACTCTGGGGCCACCTGGTAGATAGAACATTCTCATTAAACTCCAGGTGCACTAAAGAACATCAAGAGCCTTTGCACTTGACTGTGTTGTTTCAAAGCCTGCAGTTGACCCACTCTGGAAGCTGCAGAAGTAGGAGTTGGTTGGCATGCAAAGATGTGGGCTGGGTGTCCCTCAGGGGATCTCATTTTAGTTTTACTGGAAGGATTTGTCCCAAGTAAATTGGCCTGCCATTGCCAGGTTACACTTTAACAATAGGAACCGCCCCCTCCCCCAAAAAATAATCAGTAAGAATACAGAAGATTTTTTAAAATATTTTTTCATTAATTTCAGAGAGAAAGGGAGAGGGAGATAGAAACATCAACAATGAGAGAGAATCATTGATTGGCTGCCTCCTGCATGCCCCACACTGGGGATCAAGCACGTAATCCCCGGCATGTGCCCTGAGGTGAAATCGAACTGTGACCTCCTAGTTCATAGGTCGATCCTCAACCACTGAGCAACCGAGGCTGGGCAGCATACAGAAGATTCAAATTACATATAAAAAGGTGACTCCACATAATCA